TATGCAGCTTGACTGACAGTCTGAGGAGTTTAGCCTTCCCAGAGTCTTACCTTCCTAGCCATATACTAAATTAAAGAGGACTGTTTTAAACCTAGCCTTGAATAAAGAGATTCATGGATTGCACACCAGGTGTGCAAACCGATCCAAGCAAACCTAATTATATATTATATATCATATACATCATATATACCATACATACCATATATATCATAAATAATACACAACATAACATACAGCATAATATATATAACATAATATACAACATAACACAATACATTATTGTATAATATATAACATAATATATAACATAATACAGCATACATATATAATATATACACCATATATTATATATTACCTAATTATATGCTAAATTAAAGTAAAGTGCTTTAAGCCTGGCCTTGAATGTGGAGACCGTATCTGCTTCCTTAACATAAATGGGAAGCTGATTCCACAGTAAAGGAGCTTGGTAGCTAAATGCTCTGCCACCAACAGTGATTTTTGAGACCTTAGGGACCACCAGACGTCTGGCGTTTTGTGAGCGCAACGCTCGACTTGGTTGATACGACACTAACGTGTCTTGGAGATAAGAAGGAGCCAAGCCATTTATGGCTTTATATGTTAAGAGAAGGATTTTAAACTTTATTCTGTACTCCACAGGGAGCCAGTGGAGTGATTTTAACACCGGAGTTATGTGCTCCCTCCTTTTGGTACCTGTTAAGATCCTAGCTGCTGTATTCTGAACGAGCTGGAAGCTCTTCAAAGACGCTTTAGGGCATGCTGCCAATAAAGCGTTACAGTAGTCGAGCCTTGAGGTGACAAACGCGTGAATGAGTTTTTCCGCGTCACTTTTAGGAAGGAAATTCCTAATTTTAGCAATGTTCCGTAGGTGGAAGTACGCCGTTTTAGTTGCTTGGCTTATATAAGCCTTGAAGGAGAGCTCTTGGTCAAAAATGACTCCAAGATTCCTCACAGTGTCACTGGGTACAATACTGACACCATCGAGAGTAATTATCTGGTTGCGAGGGAGTCACGCAGGCGCTTCGGACCGAGTAGGATCACTTCTGTCTTCTCCGGGTTGAGAAGTAGGAAGTTAAGAGTCATCCACATTTTAAGGTCCTTTATGCAGGCACTGAGCTTTTCCAGCTGATCTGTCTGATTTGGCTTCATCGACAGATAAAGCTGTGTGTCATCTGCATAGCAGTGGAAATTAATTCCATGCTTTTTAATAATGTTTCCTAATGGCAGCATGTAGAGAGTAAAAAGAATCGGTCCGAGTACCGAACCCTGCGGCACACCGAATTCTACTCCAGAATAAGGTGACGAGTTCTGATTTACGTTGACGAAGTGATACCGATCTGATAAATAGGATTTAAACCAGCCAAGGGCTGTTCCTCTAAGACCTATATCACATTCTAGCCTCTGCAGTAGAATGCTGTGGTCTATATTGTGTCAAATGCAGCACTAAGGTCCAGTAGGACCAGCACTGACACTTGTCCATTATCAGCAGCTAGTAGTAAGTCATTTGTGACTTTGACTAGTGCTGTTTCAGTGCTATGATGAGCTCTGAATCCTGATTGAAAGACTTCAAACATATTATTTTCCTGCAGGTGGCAGCGAAGCTGCTCAGCTATAAGTTTTTCCAGGATTTTAGATATAAAAGTGAGGTTTGAGATCGGTCTGTAGTTTGTAAGTATTTCTGGGTCCAGGTTTGTTTTCTTCAGAAGGGGTTTGATAACCGCGGTTTTAAAAGCTTGTGGGACATAGCCACATTGTATGGATGCGTTTATTATATTTACGATAGGCTCAATTATCAAAGGAAGTATGTCTTTGAAGAGCCATGTTGGGACTGCGTCTAACATGCAAGTTGAGGCTTTTGAGGATGTGACCACAGAGATCACCTCTGCTTGGCTCACAGCCATGAATTTATCGAGGCCCACTGAAGAGTCTAAGTGGGAAGTCACGTATGCCGCTTCAGCCTGTCCACTACCAACAGCCGGAGTAACCTCCTCCAGTTTGTCACGGATGGATGTAATTTTATTATTAAAGAAGTGGAGAAAGTTGACACTGCTCAGTGAGCTTGGAATTTTAGGCTCGACTGCGCTATGGCAGTTTGTGAGTTTAGCGACGGTGCCAAGCAAAAATCTACTGTTATTTTTATTCGCTTCTATTAAAGTTGAATAGTATTGAGTTCGAGCCCTGCGAAGGGCATTCTTATAGTTTCGGAGACCTGCTTTCCACTCCCTGTGGACAGGCTCCGAGTGGGAGTGGCGATATAGCCTCTCCAATTTTCTGACGTCCTGTTTTAAAGTGTGGAGTTGAACACTGTACCAGGGCGACGATGATCTAATCCTAATGTTTTTCTGTTTTAAAGGAGCTGCTGCATTTAATGCAGATTTTAAAGACTCCATAGTGTTGTCCACCGTTTGGTCAATGACTGAGGGACTGCAGCTGCTGTGAACAGGTTCACCTGCAGCAGTATTCAACATAGGCTGTATTAGTTCTTTGAACCTTGTGATAGATTTATCATTTAAGGTTCTTTTCATTATGGTTTTATCTTGCGGGACAGGAAAGTCCTCCAAATCGAGATCAAACGTGATCAAGAAATGGTCAGACAGCAACGAGCTTTGACGCTGGATGTCAACATTGGAGACATCACAGCCGTAGGTCAGGACAAGGTCCAAGGTGTGGTTATGAATGTGAGTAGGTTCCTCGACATTCTGAGTAAAACCAACACCATCTAGTACGGCGCTGAAAGCTTTGTTTAAGCTGTCAGTGCTGTCGTCCACATGTATATTGAAGTCTCCAGCTATAACTATGTTTTCCCATTCCAAAACTAGGTTTGAAATGAAGTCCGAGAATTCTGTTAGGAACTCGCTGTAAGGACCAGGAGGTCGGTATAAAACTATAAATAGCACCGCTTTTTGTTTTCTCCACCCAGGACAGGTGATTGAAAGTGTTAAGTTTTCAAACGAGTGAAAAGCATTGTTGGTTTTGGGACTAAGAAGTAAGTTGGTGTGTGATATAATCGCAACACCACCGCCGCGACCTGTAGCTCTGGCTTTCTGGTAGTTAACATGCGTCGGAGGAGTGCACTCATTCAATCTAACGTAGTCGTCCTGTTGGAGCCAAGTCTCAGAGAGCGTAAACAAATCCAAGCCCTTGTCTATAATAAGTTCGTTTATGAGAAGCGATTTAGACGAGATTGATCTGACGTTCATTAAACCACATTTAACAACCCTACTGTTAGAACTATTTCTGTCTGTCTGAACTTTTATTAAGTTACTGTGTCTGACACCCAGGTCAGATTTCCTCGCATATAGTGCTTTAGACTTCAAGCGGGGAACACCCACAGTTTCAATCTGACTAGGTTCTGAGGCTAGTAACTGAGCACACACAGGCACACACACACATGCACACACAGTTTCAATCTGACTAGCTTCTGAGGCTAGTAACTGAACAGATGGGGGCTCAGAGGTTGTGGCAGAGCAGCTCTGCACCCGGGCCTCAGTTCTGCACCGTCATTTGAGCCGGGCAGAACAGTTTAGAGCCAGGGCCAAATTCTTAGCCAAAAGGGATGTACCCGCCAACGTTGGGTGGATATCATCCGAGCGGATGAGACCGGGCTTTCCCCAAAAGGCACTCCAATTGTCAACATGAACAACACCACTTCGAGGGCACCAGCCAGACAGCCAGCGGTTGAAAGCCGAGTGCCTGCTGAATGCTTCTGCACTGCTAGTGCTAGGTAGGGGCCCAGAGAAGATGACAGTGTCGGCCATTGTGCTAGCCAGCTTGCACACCGCGGCGACTTGCCAAGACTGCACGTGTGAACGTGTGAGTTTGTGTGCAATGGTGATTACATAGAGATAGACTTTTCAATTATAGAATGCTGGTGTGAATGTGAACAAGTGCAGCTGTAAAGACATACAATGTGTTAACATTATGCAAGCAGAGGGGCTCAAATTCACTCTTGCTTGTAAGTGGTACACATGTTTGCTTGGTGGACCGTGACATCCCCGCATGCACAGCTTCATATGTCCATTGCAATTTTCATATCATGTATTTTGCATAATAGCAGTGGTGCATCAGTAATTGATTAAAAGATGAGTCCACAGTTCATGTACAGTCATTTGGCAGATTCAATAACATATGTTTACTTGACTGGATTCGGGCTGTTCTGTATTGAAGAGTTGGACGAATGACAAATATTACATTCTCACTAGCTACATTAGCACCACAAACAGATAATTGTGCCACAACCATAAATACATTCAGGTAGAGTCAAAGAGAATCAGCAACTGGGTTCAAAAGGTTCTGGGCTTTACAATGAGGTATAGCATGAGGTTTGCTGGTTGACGCTCTGAATGTGAGTTTATGATTTGGGTTGACGATTGGCCAGCGGGCTGTATCTGCATATGAATAGTTGGTGGTAAGTGTCAGTCCAGGGCAGCTGAGGTTGCAAGCATAAATTACCACATCCATATGAATAATGCAATTTATAGTGGGTTTATATGTCAAGAAAGTCAGATGCAAATTTATTATCATATCAATGCTGATATTCTCAGGGTGTGCCCACAGGGGCTACAGTGTGAAGACCCACTGTTCTTGATCCAGTGGCATTGGCGGCACCTGTTGGGTGAGGGAGAGATGGTTGGCATTGGGTTGATTTGCTGATTATAATAAAAGGAAAAGTGAGAATATATGGTATTGGTTGGGAATTTAACTCATTCTACATCTGTATATTCTTGTCTACTATAATAATGTTTACTATTTCTCTCTCTTTCAGATTTTGCTGACACTGTGATTTGACTTCAGCTAAATCCCAATAGAACTGTCACTACTTGTTTTTCAATCTATTTGGAATATGCTTCAGTCATGGGACTTGGCTGGTTCCACTTTTGGGGACTTTAAACCTCTCCTTTTGGACCAATAAGAAGACACGTGTGAAAATACAGATTTTTTTTAAATAAACTTTATATATCTTTGATTTTTTTGTTTCCATCATGGACGCACGATTGCACCCAGGCTTCATGCTCCTGGTCATGGCTGCCCTCTCTTTGGCCTCTCCACAGCGGGTTCTCATCGATCCGCAGGGAGCTCCAGAGTACGCTCACTCCATCCGCCTGGACGGGGACATCATCCTGGGAGGCCTGTTCCCAGTTCACTCCCGGGGTGACCGCGGTACCCCCTGCGGAGAACTGAAAAAGGAGAAAGGCATCCATCGCTTAGAAGCCATGATGTTTGCCATAGACCTGATCAACAAGGACCCAGAGTTACTCCCAAACATCACTCTTGGGGCCCGAATCTTGGATACGTGTTCGCGGGACACCTATGCTCTGGAGCAGTCCCTCACCTTTGTGCAGGCCTTGATCGAGCGAGACGGATCAGACGTTCGCTGTGCCAATGGGGACCCGCCGATCTTCACCAAACCGGATAAAATAGTAGGGGTGATCGGAGCTGCGTCCAGCTCTGTGTCCATCATGGTGGCCAACATCCTGCGCCTGTTCAAGGTAAGATGCAGCTTTACTAGTGAAGTTATGGCTATTAAGAATGCTGATGGGAACAGCTGCTGCTGAGAGCTGGCTGTGTTTTGCTGCTACTTATGTCAATTGTCATTAAAGCTGGGGTATCAGACTTTCAAACCATAAGCAATTTAACTATGTAATACAATCCATAACTGTGGTAGTCCTGACCAAGCTGAGCATCAACATCTGGAGATGGGCCCCCGGGGTAGGGATGTAAAAAACTATGCATTTTCATGACCGACCACCGAGCCTCATTAACCGGTTGAAACCGGTTAACCACGTAGTTTAAAATATTCCACGTTCTTTGAAATAGCAGCCATTTCGAGCCGCGTACTTTTCATAAGTTTATCTATGCGTTCTACTAGATCAGAGCTGAGACAGCGGCGCCAAAACCCGCAACAGCTTCGGCACCTTTGCGCACTGAGAACTGCTTTTTTAATCTTCCCATACTGTGCTGCGGGTTAAAGCTTTTTTAAGCAAAAGACAGCTTGTTCACATGGTCAGAGCAGCGAGTTACACGCCGCGTCTCGCAGGTCTCCGCTAAAGTTTAAAAGTGATGTGTGTGGATCTGATCTAATGACAAGGACCAGCAGCACAAACATGTTTCATGTGTTTGACTGGGGCCGCGTATTTGCGAGGATTCTTTGGGCTGCGAGACATAGAGGTGCGCGACAGACCGGTATGTGTGTGTGTACAATACATGTATGTATGTGTGTGTAAATATAAGCTCCAATGTAGTTCTGACCTGCACTAGTGTGGAACTTTGACGGTAACAGAGGGGAGAGATGATGCGTGTGGATGTTACGTATGGAGGGGGGGAAAGTGTTTGTGTGTGTATGTGTGTGTGTGTATGTGTGTGTGTGTGTGTGTGTGTGTGTGCGCGCGCGTGCGTGTGCGTGGCTGCGTGCATATGTGGAGCGTGCACCATGAAAGTCGCCCGTAGTCTACTAATGCATTGGCGCACACAGCTAGATATGGACCCGCTCGTCACATCGTACAAATAGGGCTTAAAATAGCCTTATTAAGAGACCTCCTCTCTCCGCTTTTTCTTATTTTTAACCGACAGCTTTGACCGGTTAACGCTGTGACGGTCAACCACCGGTTAAACGGTCACCGATTTACATCCCTACCCCGGGGGCTATACTACCGGGACCACTGCTCCTGATAGATGGCCTAGTGGCAATGTCAAACTCATTTTGGTCCAACCAGATCTTTTGGTCGGGGACCAAGATCTGGTTGGGGCCAACAGTCTAAAAGTGGTTTACTTACCATTATTATTTCTACATATTTTTGTATTTTGACAAATCCATTTTATTTGATTCAATATGTGTTTGGAGATAATTTTTGTAGTAGGCCAGGCCAATTATCTCAAAAAGTGATAGTTAAAGTTAGTTAAATATATTAAAACTTAAAGCTGCACTAACTGACTTTGGGATTTTGAAGCTGCGGACTCGCTGGCCTCTCTCTTTCTGCTCCCCTCCCCGCACCCACGAAGCTATCGCCCCCCACACACACCCACTGTTGGGACGGAGTTAGCGTATCCCAATATGGATAATACATGGATATGGATTTGCAGGTGGATGGCGTGACCATAGAACGATAGAACCGGGAAGCGCGGAGGAACAGGACTTTCTTTTGGATGGCTGTCTCGCTGTGTAAGCAGTAACCGGTGACGAAGACGAGGGAGCTTCAGGTTAGCTCCTCGGCTTGTTGTGCTAACTCAGCCGTCTATGCTAACGGAGACCTGTAGATTTCTCACGAAAGTGGGGGCTAGTGGTGCGCTGTGATTGGTCACAATCTGCGACCCGAAACACATTCTCTTCCTTGTTTCATCAAAACTCGATCTAAAATATAATGTCACGCCAGCACAAATCTGCACTACTTTTTCTTCAAAAGGACGTATATCCCAATGCCCTACACGGACATGGATAGCATTTTAGTAATTAATACAAAAATAAAGTCAGTTAGTGCAGCTTTAACTTCTATTACATATTTGTCAACATTTAAGAACAGATTCAATCATATGGTTGTTTTCCTGAGATAGTAAGCTTTAAATTTAAGTACACCATGCCATAGTATCACATGACCATTGATGCTTTAAGTTAAGTAATAATTAAGTAATAATGATAATTGAAAGGGGCCACAAAAAATGGTCTCCCAAGCTAGATTTGGCCCATGGGCCCGAGTTTGACATGCCTGCCCTAGTGGCATCAGGATGGGTCAAAAGCAGAGGATGAATTTCCCTACGGGGATAAATAAAGTGCACCTTATAACTAGTTCCTCACTCTCACTGCTTGTCACATCTTCTGCTGAGATCTGCTTTCTTATGACTCTTTCTCAGCTTTCAGTCCAAAATGCCAATTAGCGACTCACATGGCACCTTCTTACAAGTATGTTTAAACTGGTCCTTGTCACTACAAAGGTTGGAAATCACTGGATTAAGAGACTCTACATGCTTTATGAGGATTTTAGAGAATGTACAATGTTGCAATTTGTTGCAATGTACTGCAGATGATGTGCAGCGCTCGTGACATGTTTTTCGATGATTATTTTTCATTTGCTTGAAGATTAAATGATTGAGAAGGGTTTAATGAAATGAGTATATTTTGTGTATAAAAGAAGCCAGTGGTATAGCTTGATATCTTTGTAACAGCTTTACATACATGTTCAGGTTAAACTGTGTTGACAGATATTCAATGTTTTAAAATGCCAGTTTGCGGCCTTTCCATATTCATGTATCATAGTGTCATCATAAAAGCAATTTTTCTTGTGAAAATAATTTGATAATAATTTAATAATAAGATCATTTTCTGGCTGGTCGGGGCACACTAGACCTCGACCACAGCTGTGATTCCTCTGCATGTGATCTCCCTCGCTGGCTCATCAAGATAAAGTTCAATGATGACAACCAATTAAAATGCAGTCAGTCTTCCTTGGAGTTTCCCCTCGGCGGCAGCAGAAGTCCCGCCCCCTGCGATCTCCTGCTGCACTGTAAAGAAAACCCTAAGTGGATCCATTTGAGAATGCTTATCTTGTTTTGCCAGCTCTGAGTGGCGCTGTCCAGATTTCTAATTACTTTTTTTAATGATTGTTGCAATTTTTAGCAATATAAATTACAACACTGGTCAATGTATAATATTAGAGACTTCATTTTAAGACGTTTCAATGGAAATTCTTGAGCCAGATAAGCTGGAATCCAAACATTAGAGAATTACATTTACATTAAAACTGGGTACCAACTTTCAAATCACAAATTTTGACACTTTTAATAATATCCCTGTGAAAATTGACTTTTGAAAGGTTTAAACCATGTTTTTACCAATTTGACAAAAATATCTAATTGTAACATGTCTAACTAACACTGTGATTATCTGATTTTGACTAAAAATAACACCTCCAAGAGAGATTCATATTGGAACAGATTTGGAATTTTTTTTAATGAAATGATGATATGCCTCTAGTGATGTTCTTTTTATATTTAGTACATTCTTTGTTTGCAAATAACTACATTTTTGCGATTCTGATTTAAATGTGATTCCACTTGTTCCCAGTGGAACGAAAAAAGGTCCGAAGATTCCCCTTAGTATGCAAATATCCGCCTCTCACCCGTGTCTACCTGCCAGCTTGAAATGGTGATTGTGTGCGCTGCGAATGTAAGACGCGATATGTCAAGATGTGCTAAGTGTCCCTGGAGTGGGATGTGTGTGTTGTGTGTTTATGCTGTGGACACAAAATCCTCCTCGGTCTGTGGTGGAGCCAAATAAGATGGCTGCCAACGTCTGATATCAGTTACAGCACAAATCTGTCGGTGGTCTCTGTTTTGATTGATCTGATACTTTCCTGTGTGCTGTGGGGATTTAGCCGTGCGCTGGTTTTATGGGCAAAGGTGGCCATAAAACAGATAGTAACCAGAAATACTGGCTAATTATTGTTTAGTGGAGGTGAAATTTAACACATTTCACACAATAATGAGTAACAGGACAGTGTTTCACAAATGCACAAGTTTTCTCTGGTAAAAAGTTATGATAAAGCAACAACAACCAACACTGACACTGGTACATAAGTTGGAACATAAGTTGGATTATGGTATAAAATGGCAATTTCGATGCTGGTATATTGAGTGGGACTCGTAATAGTAAACAAAGTTGTTATTCAGAGGCTTTTTTGCAGGCTAAATGACTGTACACACTGTCACACAACAAAAAAAGTTAGCTAGGCTTTTCACTGTATTGGTCACTATAGTTGTGCTTGAAAGTTTATATCCCATGGACATTCTGAAGGATAGTGCAAAACCATTTGGTTTCACTTATTGTAAGTGATTGTGTGAAGCCAAATACATTTATCTTTGTGAATATTTTTGAAAATGATAACGACAGTAAAAACTACTCTTTCCATTTCCATCCCTAACTTCTCAATAGCGTGTCTTTTGTGCCATTGTGGATGAGGCTCTTGATCCTCTCTGATGGTAAAACCGTCCATTTGTTTCTGTAAACTCCTGGGAGTTTACATCTGGCATGAATGAAACTTTTGACCTCTCCACAGGCTCATTGATGTCATAATTGAAAATAGAAACCACCTTATTAGACTATATATAACACTACAAACACTGAGTGGGAAAACAACTATATGTGTAATCATTAAGGATGTCCAAAATATGGCCAAAATAATGAAAGTATTCCCAGGGAGTGTAAACTTTCAAGCACATCTGTCTTGGCGAAAAGGGCACATACACATCAATGTATCCAAATTAGTTAACTTTATTATTTGTGCAAGCTGCAGTTTTCTAGCCTCTGTGTAAATGTTGCCGATGGAAATTCCTCTAGTGATTGTGCTAAAGCCGCTGTTGTCTGCGAGACTGATGGATAGTCTTGCAATTATGACATATGAGAGCCTTAATGACGCTCGTGGCATTTCAACTCCACCGCTTTCCTACGCGTTTTTCCTGCTATGAGTGATGTTCAATGACCAAACGTGATGAGCCAATCGCAGTACGCCTAGCTAACAATCCACTCACACATTCTCTGCTCCCATGTCCATTGAAATGCATTGCAGGGAGTCCGTTTTCATTTGTTTTCATATAGTCATCTTAACTAAAAGAAAAAAAGTCAAACGGTATGCAACTCCAACACTAAATAGCAACACACAAACATCCTTGAATTATCACAAAAAGATTAAATAACTTGTATTTTATTGATGCAAACAACTTGTTGTTTCGGCCTTAGTGGTCAACATGTGCAGACTCTAGCGCTGAGAGAGATGATCCTTCACACTGACAGAAACGTGAAATGGCTGTATGTGGGCTCTAGTCTGGGACATAGATGAAAACATAATAATTAAAACAAACTGGTGTCCACTGGTATATGGTGGTTCCTTGATGTAAATGTGAAGAATCCCCATCTATCTTTTCTCACAGAGACAAGTCGGTGACAAGCGGCAATTTACAGATCAGTAGTATTTTTGAGCGATGGAATTGTCTATTACTCCAAAAGTGCAAGAGATTTACTGACGAACACTTCAGGCAAATTGCATCTCCATGGAAACACACAGGGGGCAAACTTCTTTTAAGCTAATAAATACACATAAGGCAGTATGATATGAATTATAATCCCTATTATTGTATGTTCATGATCAACCCTGGTGTATATTAATCCTGTGCAATTATACAGAGGAATATGACAGTGGCCATTCTTTACGCTGTGGGTATTTACATCGGCACAGCAGATGATTATGTTTCAAATCTAATAATTCTTCAACTGAAAGATAATAACTTCTGTCTGCAAACTCATAAAAACCCGCCGTCCAGCTTTCTGTTTATTCGCCACACATTGAGCTGTAGAATCCTCCGGGAGCCCGACGAAGGGAGACAGACTTGCGCATGTTTTTGAACGCACTTGTTAACACCACACTCACGCTTTGAATGGGAGATTTGCATATTAAACAACAACAACTAAACATGATTTATGCCAGGATCTGTGACGGCGACAGCACTCCAACACGGCGCTTTTCTGCCACAGCTCTGCCTGGTGCTCATTTGCCTAATACGATTTAGAGCATTGTGTTGTTACATGTGTGTCTATTGTGTGCCCTGCTACTTATATAAATAACAGCCATTTTTATTTTGCGTTTGCTGACAGTTTTATGCAATTTATGAGTGAAGACTTGCATGTTTTGCTTTGCATCGGCCAACATGAATAATGCACGTCTTACAGGACACTTGAAATAGTGCACACGAGCTACATGTAATGAACATATGTCTTTCTAATGGGATAATCTGACAGTCTACATTTCACTCACCCATTCAGAGAGGCTTGGCAAGGCAAACACAGTTAGACGGTTTAATCTTGAGATTGCCACAACAGATCTAAAATATCCCCAATTCCACCATAAAATGATTTTTTCACCTCTTTCTTCTCTCTTGGAATTGGGAGTCATGCACCAACTATCACAGCTCAGAAATGACATTGAGCAATAGTTGATGTGGCTTGTGAAAACTATGGCCAATTTTCTGCTTTAGGCTGCATCAGGATAAAGGGAACTGATATAGAGGAGAGCAATGTTCAGAAGTGGTTGTATCATTTTCTAGAGTGAAAAAACATCAAACAAAAGCCTTGTGAAAACAGCGGGCTTGCATTTGTAGCTACTTCAAAAGACAATGTAAAGCAAAACAATAAGCACATTTGTTTCTGTTATTGGACAGTAACAAAGCTGAATGCATGAAAGAAAGCTTTTTCAAGACTGTGTACACTAAACCACATTGGAAAAACACAGAAGTATCAAAACTAGCAAGAAATGTGGGGAATGTTTACCGCATTGTTTTATCCCACATTATTCCGTAGATGTTTGAGTCAGATTTGCACCCGTCAATCAGCCCAGAGCTCTATGATTACTCTAATTACTGGAAAAATGACACTTTCATTCACATTACTAAAAAAGCGTTGCCAGGTTGCAGTGAGCTTTTGTTGCAACATGAGCTGTAAAGGTTAAGTGTGACTGTTGAAATCCTCACAGGAGCACACGGCGCATTGTGCTAATAGAGGCGTAATGTGCAGGTAATGTGTGTGTGGGCCAGGACAGTAGGTCAAAGTTGTAACGAGTGTTTACAAGTGTCTGAGTGGGTGGGGATTTCACTTTACTTTTTATTTTCAAGGATAATTATCTGTCCACTGAAGTTTTGGATTACGGAAATTACCAAGAATAGTTATAAATTGATATTGCGCTTTTTTGGATGCTCAAAGACGCTTCACATGGCATTTCCCTTCTCTCTATACATGGTGGTGATGAGCAATTATGCTTTCGCTACAGTTGCCCTGGGGCAGATTGACAGAAGCGAGCCAACAACAAACCTGACTCAGTGTATGCTATGGGTGAAATGTCTTGCCCAAGGACACAAGGACAGTTTGGCACTAGGGCTGGGACAACGCATCGACGTAATCAATGACGTCAATGCAAAAAATACGTTGATACAAAATATGCACGTTAATTTGTCATACTCAAAACAAAGATGGCAGCGAGCAGTAGCAGTAGTATGCCACTGCCGTCATGGGGCGTTCAGACCGACGCTGGAACGCTGTTCCATGCGCAGTAGACGCACATTCTCTAAATTACAGAGGCTTGGAGTGTTCAGACCAGATTAGTAAAGCTAGCGGAGTTAAGATAGCGGCTTTTTGTGAAAGTTCTTCTCCAAAAGGCAGCTCTGCAGTGTCTCTGTGTCCAGAGACCTTTCAGAGACTTTATATAACAGCAGTTATGCGCCATCAGTTTATTTTGTTATTAGACGGTACTTCCGCATCTGCGAACATGCTAGCTGCACTAGTTTAGTCACTGGAGATTGACAACTCAGGCTAGAGGAATGTTCACAAGCACACACACAGAGACAGACAGTATTCTTAAGGGGAAAGGAAAGTGTCAGAGTCTAAGTTTTTATTTGTTATTTGTGAATGAAGATGATTTTTTAAGTCAGCTAGGCCTATGTTCAACATAACTGTTGAATTCTAAATATTTATTTTCATTATTTTTTGCTACAAAAGCACTCTCTCTTTAGCTTAAAGCCCTCAAGATTACATTGGTTTTATTTATTAATTTATTGAATGCTAAACATCAAGTGTTATTTTCATCTGAAAGAAGAATAACAAGATGCATTTTTTTTCAGTAAGCTTGATGTGTTTTCAAGGCTTCAAGGTTGTATGCTACCAAACTAAGAATGTCTTATTTTTGAATTTTAAGAGCAATAAATATATTTTGTTAAGGAATTCATGTTTTTTCATTCAGATATGTAAATCAACATATATACATTTGATATTCGTCAATTAATGGGGAGATAATCAAATCAAATCAAAATCGAATCGAACAAAAAAAAAAACATTAGATTAATTGATGCATCGAAATTAATCGCTAGATTAATTGTTTAAAAAATAATCGTTAATCCCAGTGCTATTTGGCACTTTACAGCCGTAGCACACCTGGTGTTCACAGTGATCTCCCATCACATTACTAACCAGGCCTGACAGGATTTGGTGTTCACATACAGGCGGTTCACTCTGAAACCCCAAATATAGTAGTTGCTTTAACATGTTTCCTAATGACT